GCCGACCGACTCTGGCGTGCATTTAATATTTTTGGGGAAAAGAACCGATGGGACGCTTCGATCATTTCAACGCTTACGTCATAAGAGTGATGCCATCATAAAGGACTTCGGGAATTCAAATCGTTTTATATCATTTCATTCTAAGAAACGCGGGGACTATCTGTATACGGTCGAAATCGAAGAGCTCGATTTCGAAGACTTAACGGTACCCTGGGCTCGAGCTCGGGTAGCACGAAGTAAAGACCAGATCTGACTGGAAAACGCATACCTCGAGGGAGCAAATCGGAGACCCGTCATGATCCACCTCGAGGGCAGTACAATTTCGATGACACTCAAGAAAGAGCGAGAATTTCTCAAGGACACGTGGATCAGGGCATAATTATGGGATAAGATTTGTACGAAATAGTACGAGTCCGTACTAAGTTGTTATACAGCTGTACCAATAGAATTCTTTAACATAATTGGGAATGTACCATATTAGAATTTTTCCCTCCTATATAAAGGGGACCCCAATCATTTGTAAGGATCATCTCATTCACTGCAATAGAACATTCTACTCTGCTTTTCTCGTTTACTGTGCTCCACAATTGTTCTTCAGCTTTATTGTTTTTGCTTTATTGTTCATACTTTATTTGCTCTTAACTCACCTCGAGGCCACCGAGATAATCGAGCTCGAGGTCCCCGTTGCTCTAACAACACTGGTTTGGTTCATTAATTCTTCTTACTGAAACCTAATATTACTTATATATTCACTAGTATTGGAATAAATCACATATCTTTAAAACTACAAATCATCTTTAATTGTTACTCACATTTTTCGAGGCAAACACTTGCCTTACAATAATCTCAAATTAGTTTAGGACAATATTTTATGAATATTCGTAGTTTACTTTAGGCCCGACTAATAATAATCATTGTGATTGTGGGTACGATTCCCGTGGCATAGTCATGATACGTAACCCCAATTCGTGTGTGCGTTTCACGTGACTCGATCATAACTTCGAACGATAATAAAATTAAACACCTTGTAGATTGCGGGTGCGTTTCATGTGGCACGATTTGCAATGTGTATAAACAACGAGTGTACGACAACGTAACTCGTCTCAATTAATTCCATAAAAGCTCAAAATGCAGTATTGTAATAAAAGCAGTAAAATGAATAAAAATGCACATAGGTTTTAATATGTAACAAATCAGATAATTAGGCCAATTATTAATAGTTGAGCGACCGTGCTAAAACCACGGAACTCGGGAGTGCCTCACACCTTCTCCCGGGTTAATAGAATTCCTTACCGGTCTTTTGGTTTTCGCAGACTTTAACACATAGTCAAATTTCCTCGATTTGGGATTTAAAATAAATCGGTGACTTGGGACACCATAAATTATTCCAAGTGGCAACTCTGAATTAATTAAATAATCCCGTTTCGATAATGTCACTTAAATTGAAAAAAAATCCTTTCCCCTCGGTAGGGGTGTTCATGGTTCGGTTTGGATCGATTTTTTTCTAAAAAGAAACCAAACTAAGTAAGTTGGTTTTTCAAATATTAGAACCAAACCAAACCAATTAAGTCGGTTTTTTCTCGATTCGGTTTATAATATACATAGGCAAATCTGGACCTTTTCACTCAAATATTTTGAACACATGGAGCTCACATATCATGCTAGAGTTCCGTTAATGATAAAGACAAATATGAAATTAGGTTACAAACGGAAAAAATATCAATAGATCAAAAACACCACGAAAGGCAAAGTTTTAAACTATTACGAGTAGTACATAGATAGATTTTTCCCCGTATAATTGAACCCATAGATTTTCCGATAATATATTTTGTTATATATGTTAATGTTCCTACTCCAATGAAGAAATTGTGATTTTATATTTTTAGATGCTTGAAAAAATCATAAAAGAATGAAGATAAACTTGTAGCTTTTTTCTCTTTATTTTTGTTGGGACTTTGGAAAAATTAAAGAAATTTCGTAATACATTTCACGAGCGAAGAATAAATCAGGAGAATAAACTCATTTTTCTTGAGCTCGTCTTCCCAAATTACCAATTTTTCCTCATGTTTATGATCTTCGTTTGGTAGAAAAATTGTTACGGAATTGTTTCAATTCCATTGAATTCAAATGGGAATGAATTTGTTATATGTTCACTGCTGATGAAGATATGTTTATGGAGGTAAAAGAAATATGCAAAATAAATATTTCCAAATTTTGCCCTTTCATCCAATAGTACCTAAACAATCTTTCAGAAAGGGCCAATATCTAAACATGTCAACTGGGCTGCCAATTAGGCCCAATTAGGTAAAAAGGGCCAGACCAGTCCTAAATGGGCCAGGACGGCCCAATTTCTGACAGGCCCAAATTTACTTTGAGAAATCTCAAATCCAGTGGCCCGTTTGACATCCGATGTGAAACCAAACGTCACATTTACTTGGAGGCAACAAAGAGGGACAGAAATGCATAGTATAAACGGAAAAGGATCTAATATATCCCTCTACTATTAAAAATTATTTAAAATTATCCTATGCCACTACTTTCTTTTGATGCTTATTTAATCAATTTTAATTTGGGTATTTGTGTGTTGTTTCTGTACAACTTCCGTGCTTTATTGAGTAATTTGGAGATGAAGTAATAATTAGGCATCCATGGTGGTGCCGATTGTGGAGGTGTTGGTAGCCTTACCAAGAAAGTTAAGGACTGTAAGCAAAATCATAGAGGACAAGTATTAAATGTAAATTTTCAATTTTTCTAGGAAAACTCAGCTGATAATATGGTGTATGATTTGGGCGATTTGGGTTTACTGAGAGAAGCGGGTTAGGGGTTTTAGAGTTGGAGGTTCTAATATTTACTTTTTCTTACCTTTTTGTTGGCGGGTCAAATTTAATGGGTCGGGCAACGGGTAATGTGACGGGTCGTGTCTAATCTAAAATTCGATGGACCAAAAGTCTTGGATGAGTGCCACATGTCTAGTCTGTCAAGTTAGGGGTATATTTATGTGGATAGTAAGACGGTAGGGATTCTTTTGATTCAATAGTATAACGGAGGATAATTTTAAACAATTTATAATAGTAGAGGGATATATCAGACCCTTTTCCGTAGTATAAATTATGCTTAGTAAGAACTATGTTTGGTAAATGAAGTTTAAACTTGTAATATTGTATTAATGGAAGGTAAAGTAGATATTTAAGTTAATTAGTGATATACAAGTGAGATTAGGATCATTGTAAGTGAGTTACTGGATACATGTGATGGTGAAAGACACTATGTATGTAATGGAATAATTGAGGTGAGTGTAAACTGATCCAAATACGACGATTAACCCGGAAAAAGGCATTGATGAATCGAACCTCATAAACCAACAACAACAACAACAACGACTCAGTGAAATCCCACTAGTGGGATTTGGGGAGGGTAGTGGGTACGCACCTCATAAACCAACAACAACATCAATGACGACTCAGTGAAATTCCACTAGTGGATTTGGGGAGGGTAGTGTGTACGTAGACCTTACTCCTACCTCGAAGGGATAGAGAGGCTGTTTCCGAAAGATCCTTGGCTCAAGAGGACAAAAAGACAAAGGGAGACAATATCAGTATCACCACAGAAATCATAGGAAAAATAGGAACATCATGAAATCAAGAAGAAAGACTCAAAGTAAAAGTGTAGCTAGTACATAGGTCCGGCACTGAAAAGCGAAAGAGTAAGACACGACATTGCCACTAGATATCTTAGACAAAAACCCTACCAGACTAGACTAACAACGGTACGAAGTAAGGCAAGACTCAACTACCTCCTAACCCACAACCCCAATACTCGACCTCCACATCTTCCTATCAAGTGACATGTCCTCGGAAATCTGAAGCCTCGCCATGTCCTGCCTGATCACCTCTCCCCAATACTTCTTAGGCCGCCCTCTACCTATTCTCGTGCCCTCCACAACCAGCCGCCCACACCTCCTTACCGGAGCATATGGGCTTCTCCTCTGTACATGACCAAACCATCTGATCCTCGCTTCCCGCATCTTGTCATCAATGGGAGCCACACACACCTTCTCCCGAAGATCATCATTCCTAATCCTATCGAACCTCATAAACCATGTTATCCAATTAATAATGTCACGCACACCTCTCGCAACAGGACCTTGATTGCTCTAATAATTAAACTTGTGGCAAAGACGTTAAGGTTGCTGTAATAATTTTTTTATAGGCATTATTTTAAAGATGCTACTTCAGTTTACCGAGGACATGACCCTTAATAGAAGGGTTGGAGGTTAATAGCCTGTTTGGCCAAGCTTATTTTTTGGCCAAAAGTACTTTTTTTTTTAGTCAAAAGTGTTTTTTTGCCAAAATTAAGGTGTTTGACCAAGAAAAAAAATGTTTTTGAGTATAAGCAGAAGCAGTTTTGGAGAAGCAGAAAAGAGTAAGTTCTCTCCAAAAGCACTTTTTTGAAAAGCGCTTCTAAGAAAAATACACTTAAAAACACTTTCTAAAAGCTTGGCCAAACACTAATTGTTGCTCAAAAGCCCTTTTCAAATTAATTAGCCAAACACAAACTACTTCTTACCAAAATTACTTTTTTGAAAAGCGTTTTTGACAAAAGCGTTTTTCAAAATAAGCAGATTTTAAAAGCTTGACCAAACATGCTATAAGAATTAGGGTAGAAGAATAGTAGTTAAGCGGGTGTGTCTCATTTTCATGCCGGTTTCATTAGCATTAGTCTTGTATTTTTGTATCTTCGCATCCGCAAATATTTTTTACTATATGTCATTTGTTTCGCTTCGATTAAGCAGACACTTTTTTTGGCTAGCTAATGGATTTCAAGTAGTTGCCTCAAAGGTAATAGCCCATATCAGGTAGATAAAGACACTCAAATCTTTTTATTTGAAAGAGCAAGCCAGAGAAACGAAATGTCAAGATAAATACCTTTCATCCTAATCTCATCTATGGAAAAAGAAGGTGATAGACATATTTATTTTGTCGCATAAAACGAAATGGATATCAAAAGAAATTCACCATTTTAGAATATTGATCCCATAAACACAAGGGTCTATTGTACGCTTACCCTGCATTTCTGCAAGAGGTTGTTTCCGCCGCTTGAACCCGTAACCTCCAGGTCACACATGACAACAACTTTACCAGTTACGCCAAGGCTCCCTTTCCCCCCCCAAAAAAAAAATAGAATAACTCAAAACATGTCAATGACAGTCTCACTAACAAAAGTTCATCCTACAAATTATGTTACAAAAGAAACAGAAGAGATAATTAAAACTTCATAATAAGAACTAAGTCTAGTCTTACTTCCTACATCTCCAAGATGACACTGAAAAAAGAGCTCGATCGTGCCAACAAATCACCACACAACCATTCTCTTCTTTGATCTTGTATCCTTCACAACTATAACTTTGCAACAACCTTCTTGCCTGCAACATAGCATAATAACTCAAAGGCGCATTTCCAAAACCAGCTACATCAAATCTTTGGAACCATTTTTCGAGCTTCTCGTGCCTCTCCTTTCGTTCGAGTCCTTCACATGCTATAATGTTCTTAATCTCCTCACCTAACAGCATTTTTTCCACCTTTAACCTCTCCAATGATGTTCTTGGCAATGCGGATTCTAGACAATCAAATAATGCAGCATAATAATGTAACGACTCCGATAACCTCTCCATAAGAGTTGTTCCATTATGATTAGAATCTTGTTCTGTTACCACCATAACTTTTGGTGATAAACCCCACAAAGCATTGAGGAAACCATCCATTTTTGTTGTTGAACATAGCGGGGACGATGAAGCCGTGTCATTGCTCGGACTATAACCATTAGCCATATGGCCCATATCTTTTTCAAGCAACTCCCCTAAGGTATTTTGGTTGATCAATGCCCTATGCAAGTTAACACCATTTGAATGCTTAAAAGGCAAAGGGGACTTCTTTTGAGGTTCATTGTCGTGTCCAAGAAGAGTGTGCAATTGCATAACTGAACTAATCGCAAGCGCCTCCCCAGTTTTAACGCGCAATTTCTCAACATCAAGATCTTCCAATTGGCTAACTACTTGATTAAACTGAAAAGGTATATCCAACTTTTCTGCTTCTTCAGTAAGTACATATGCCATTTGATCCAACACTTCTTTTTGCTGATGAACCCCCGTTATGCGCAAATGAGGCGGTCCTTCAGGACGCGCACTTAAGTCCTGAAGCAATGCGCGCCATTGCAAGGGTTCACCAGCATTAAGATCAACAATATGAACCATCTTTTCACCTTCCATAGCTTCAATTATAGCTTGATTTGTAACCACAAAAGCAACCTTCAAAAAAGGAAAGAACTCGAAAAACATCTTCCTAACTAAAATATCTTCTGAGACAACCGATAACTTAGTCGAACGCAATGCCTTATAAATACCAGGCCAACTTCTAAGAATCCTATCAGCTAATGCCTCAGTAAAATGTGAAGCAATTCTTTGCATAGTATCTCCATTAGGAGAAGCAAGTTGGGAAATATGATCAAGTGCTATATTAGCATTTTCAAGACTACCACAAGAAACATGATTAGCACAAGCAAGTAAAAGGTGTATTAAATACAACCCTCTTTCTTCAGATTTCAGCTCCTTAAGCCACTGATTTGATGAACTAAAACCAGGTGATAGTGACATTATTGGAAATATTTGAATAGGTGATGATGATGTCACAGATGATGAACCATCATCTTGTAACATTTTCACAAACTAATAAATAGTAAATGTTGGTTCAAAAGTATTAAAAAAAGTTCACTTCACACACCTCAGGGTGGTTGAATGAATAATACTTTTTGAATCAAGACACAAACTTTCCAATAAATAAACAACAACAAAGACAGTCTAATTCCACCGGTGAGATCTGGGGAGGGTAGTATTCCGCAGGTGGGGTCCGGGGAGGATCAACAACGACAAACACTATAATTCCACATATGGGGTCCGGGGAGGGTAGTATTCCATAGGAGGGGTGTAGGTTGGATCAACAACAACAAATACAGTGTAACAGGTGGGGTCTGAGGAGGATAATATTCCACGGGTGGGGTATGGGAAGGATAGTACATACACAGACCTTGCTCTTAAATGAACTATTGACAAAGTACTAAGAACAACTGAGAGGGAAAGAGAGACACAAAGAGAGTGAGTATATCCAAGTGGCTGCTATACTAAAAAAGGCTCAAATAATCGGAAATAATCTGAATTCACTATTATTTCAGTCCAAATTGTAAAAGCTCAGCAGAAAGGTAAAAGCTTGAATTGGAAAAATGAAATCTTGGCTCAGCTATTGAAAATCACCAAGCAGAAAACAGAGCAAAAACAGAGCAAAAGTTAAATTTGGCAAGAAACTTACCAAATAGAAGAACAACAACAAATTCCTTTAAGGGTTATTCAAATCAACAAAACCCCACAAATAGCACTAAACAATTCACTACAAAGTCAGTTTCTTTAGTGAAAAATCTTTGCTAAAACTAGTTAAAGACTCTGCTTTTGTAACTTGCTGCTGAAAGAGGAAAGAGAGGAAATAAGGAATTGGGATTCTATTTTTGGGATTCAATTAAAGATGTTTTGAGAGAGAGAGAGAGAGAGAGAGAGAGAGTTGTGTCAGGTTTGTGAGAGTTTCTTCATTGCTACGTTTGTAGACAATGCGTGGGTTTGGTTTTTGTCCTTACTGTTTTTGTATTTGTCTTTTCAGAAGAATATGGAATTTGTGAGAAATCTTTATTTTTGTGTTAAACCTTTATTTTTCTTTCCAAAATCTCTCTCTCCCACCACCCCAAGGAATTTGTTTTTGTTGTTAGTTGGAATAGAGGATTTAAATCATACTTTACTTTATTGTGTAGTTAATAATGGTAGTTGTTTCTTTTTTATAATTTAAAAATCATCAAGTAACGCACTATTTAATCAGTCGTTCCTTTTTATCATTTAACTATTCTTATTAAGTAACGCGTTATTTAATAAGTTTTTTAACATCATTTGAATCTGCCCCAATGTATATATTACACTTTATGTTATTACTGCTAGACCAAAGTCTCAACTAACAAAACTTGTTTATTTTACCTTTCTTTCATGTTAAGCTAAATAATGGGTAATTCGTTAATGCAATTTTTTAAAAAAAAAAATGGTTATGTGAGTATTAAATCATTGAGAATCAGTAACGCACTATTTAATCAGTATCATTATCTACTTAATACTAAGTTTCTTTTAACATCATCCGAATCTGTAGTAATGTATACATCACATGTTGTGCTATTACCGCTAGACCAAAGTCTCAGCTAACAAAATTGTTTATTTTACCTTTTTTCATGTTAAATTAAGTTTTGAATAATTTATTAATATCGAATTTTTTAAACGGTTATGTGCCACGTAAAATTAAATCGTATTGCAAAAAATAATAGATATTCTTACCTAAAGAATCAATGTACTTTCATATCTCCATTTTGTATTTCTCCATGATAAAGTAATATGTTTTTTGTATAATTTTTTTTTAATAGAAAAGAACTACTTCAATTGTTACTAGAATTTCTTCTTCCTACAAAGAAAAGTTAACTTTATTTATTATTAATAACTAAAAAAGGGAACAACTAAAGTGCTTGTTGCATAGTGTCACCTTTATTACCCATAACAATATGTTCAAGGAAGAGTTTATTAATGCTTTAATCAACCCCCCACCCCACCCCACCCCACCCCACCCCCCATTTTCTATGTGTCTATGAGGGAGTCAGACTGTGAAACAACTTTTTGGTTGTATGTTTGTCATGACATAAGATGTATAGGGAATCAAAGGTGGCTAAAAAGACTAAATATTCTAAAAAGGTTACTTCAATCCAAACATGCCCTAACAAAGACAAAGAAAAATGTCATCATTTCCTTTGTTTCGTAGTGGGAAAATGGGGGAATTGCAAGAAAGTTTTTTGTTTGTGTAATAAGACCAAAAGACTTTTCAAATTTGTATTTATTACTTTTGTCCTATTAATAACAAGACAAAGAGGCAAAGGAGTTAAAAGAAACAGCCAAATGTAGACTCCACCATTTATGTTTTTGTCATCCACTTGTTAGACTCTTAGCCACAATGAATAGAAAAATTTGGATGGTTTTTGAAATCCCGTGGGAAATTGGTGGTAGCTAACCACTTTTTTCTTGTTCTTCTTGAAAATATTTGAAATATCTAAAGCTGGTGTTGAAAGAACTACCACGCTTACATTGTTAAAAAATGCCACGTTGTCTATTTGTGTAGGTCGAGAGGGAGCCTTGGCGTACCTGATAAAGTTGCTGCCATGTGACCGGGAGGTCACGGGTTTAAGCCGTAGAAACAACCTCGTAGAAATGAAGGGTAAGGCTGTGTACAATAGACCATTATGGTCCGACCCTTCCCTGAATCCCGCGCATAGCGCATAGTGGGAGCTTAATGCACCGGACTGCCCTTTTCTATTTGTTTAGGTCAAGTTTTAATTTAGTTATGGGCTTTTGGGCTCATACCTACTTTCTTTAGATTATAGAAAATTTTACCTCCTAAACCAAAGATACACCTTATTTATTACAAACAAAAGTCATCTTAAAATATTATTTTCTATAGCTACATTTTATATTTTATAGCAAAATAGGTATTTATGGTATATATTACCATTGAGACATAAAGTACGCTATTTATGTTTTTCCTCTCTCTTTGTTTCAATTAACACAGCATTCTCTTTCAGAATTTTTTTTCCTTCTCTCTCTCTTTCTTCTCTCTCTTCGAGCAAAATAGGTCGAATCCTCTAGGGTTACTGCAATTGAATCTCTTAGCTTCGTCGATCCTCTCAAGTTACTTATCCTGTTCAAGGCTTATGAATCGTTTTTCCCAAAAGATCGAGGTTACCTCATCTTAGTTCAATCTGCTCGTGAACCTGAATCATTTGCTGGAGCCCCCAGATCTGCAAGATTTCTTCCTTTGAAAATTCTCCCCATATGTGGGGTTTCTTATCTTGCTTGTTGGCATACCCAATCAAGTTTGCAAATCCTTTATGAAAGGTTACGTTACACTGTCTTCCTTCGAACTGATTAAAGGTTTGCCTTATACTTCTGGTTGCATTGTTCTTTGAAGCATCGGAGTTCTTTATTGCGACGTGTATCGTCAACACAAGGAGTCTTGGCCGGAAAATGCAATCTCCGCGAACTTTCTTTATCACGACCCAAAATCCAGCTAGTCGTGATGGCACCTAACCCAACCCGTTAGGTAAGCCAATTAACAACTATCCAATTCTAATGAAATTAATAAGGAAATTTAAATAAAAGAAAATATCTGAATCTTATACATTACCCAAGGACTGGTAGTACAAATCATGAGCTTCTAAGATTACAATTTACAAAGTTGGTATGAAATAAATACACCATCTATTCGAAATGTACATAAACAGATTTTTATGAATCTAAGGCTACCATGAACAAGAGGCAGCTACAACCGGAACGCAGGTACGTCTTCAATTCCAGTTCCCGCCGATCACAACAACATCAACATCCAACATCTGCACGCAAGGTGCAAAAGTGTAGTATGAGTACAACCGACCCCATGTACTCAATAAGTAACAGACCTAACCTTAGGTTGAAGTAGTGACGAGCTGGAACATAGGTCGGAGTCCAACACCAATAGCCAACAACAGTTCATAACAACATAATGAAAGCAATAAAAAAATACTTAGAGATAAGATGCTAGGCTCGTTCACAGTTCCAGAAAAATAGGTATGCTTTTCAAGTAAATCAGTAAAACTCCAAATATTTTACTGAAATCACCAAAAATATGAGAAGTTTGAAAATTGTAATTTTCCCCAAAAAGCGTTCAAGAGGAAAATGTTTCATTTTCAAATGGCATGAGTAAAATACATCTCTATGCCTATATGTCATGTATGCATGTCAATGCAATGTATCTCAGAGATGAACTCGTGTACTCACACTCTCAGAGTATTCAATCTCACGGTCTCACACTTTCCACTTATCATTCTCAATCACTCGACATGCTCAGTCACTTAGTACTGTATATGGCCAATCCGGCCCAGCGAAGATCCATCCCGAATATATACATAGCAAATGCCAGTCAGTCACTCAGTACTATATAAGGCCAATCCAGCCCGAGGAAGATCCTTCCCCAAATATAAATGCTTCGGGCAAGATTCATGCCCAGGGAAGATCCATCCCTAAATATAAATCAACCGCGCTCACTAGCAGTGTGTGCAGACTCCGGAGGGGCTCCTTCAGCCCAAACGCTATCATAAATCAGTAAAAACCGCTGCGGCATGCAGCCCGATCCCATAAATGTCAAACTCGCTGTGGTGTGCAGCCCGATCTCATAAATGTCACTCATAATCAGGCCCTCGGCCTCACTCAGTCATCAATCTCTCCAGTCTCTCTCTCTCACGGCCTCACAATATCATGAAACTAGCTCTAAAATGATGATATGATGTATTAATAAATAGCAACGGAGATTGATATATGATATGTAATGAATGAATATGACTAAGTATGAAATTTCAATGAAATCAATAAGTCAACAGCAAGAAACGACCATTATGGGTGCCAACAGTACCAGCATATAGCCTAAACATGATCTATAGCATGATTGACAACTCAATTACTTTAGTACGTAGAGATTTCATGGTTACAGGTAAGATCAGGTAACTACACAATACCACAGAAATAACGGAGTCACGATCCACACGGTGTACGCCCAGACACCTATCACCTAGCATGTGCATCACCTCAACACCAGAACACATAATACGTAATTCGAGGTTTCATACCCTCAGCACCGAGTTTAGAAGTGTTACTTACCTTGAACAAGTAAAATCCAATAACGAGCAAGCCAAACGATGCTCCAAAATACATCCTGCGCATAACAGCCTCCTAACGGCACGATACTAGCCAAAAGCAACTCAAATACATTAAATAATACCCAAGGAAACAAATTCCAAATGATAAAAGTCGAATCCTTGATCAAAAGTCCAAAATGACCAAAAAGTCCAATCCGGGCCTGCGCCTCGGAACCCAACAAAACTCACAAAATTCGGAAACCCATTAAATTACGAGTCCAACCATACTAGTTTCACTCAAATCCGACTCCGATTCGATGTTCAAAACTCAAAAATTCGCTCTATGAAACTTTAGGCTAAACCCTCAATTTTCTCTCTTGGGACCCTCAATCAAATGTCGAAAACGAAGATAGATTCATGATATAAAATCAAAAATGAGTAGAGAACACTTACCCCAATCCATATGGTGAAAATTGCTCAAGAATCGCCTCAATCCGAGTCCCATATCTCAAAATATGATAAAAGAACCCCAGACCTCGATATATAGCTTATGCCCATGCATCTTGCTTTTGGAAACAAATTAGCCGCTTCTGCAGCGTCGCTTCTGCGACATAACCTTCGCTTCTGTGGAATCAACTGAGAACTCGACCCTTGCACATGCGGGCAAAGTATCCGCTCCTGCGACATCGCAGGTGCAAGCCACCATCCGCACCTGCACAATACCTCGCTCCTACGCTCCATCACTTCGCACCTGCGCATCCGCATATGCGCTCCAAATATCCGCTTCTGCGGTCTTCCTCACCCAGGTCTCACCTCGCTTCTGCGACTGCCTTGTCGCTTTTGCGACCATCACACCTGCGCAAAACCAGT